AAAAGGTAATTCCCCAAGGCCCAGCCAAGGAGGCAACCCACAGACCCCTGCCTATGGGTTATTATGAGTTTATATTCAGCACCATGCAGATAACTTTCTCCTTGGGTTGGTTGTACCACTGACGATGAAAATTTGCTTTAGATGGAACGTGTTTCTTGGATTTGTTCAGATGGAGGGGAGCACTTGCCACCTCTTTCATAGGTACTAAAGGCTTTCTGATGGAAGGTGTCCCTGCCCGTGGCAGGGGGTGGAACTGGAGGAGCTTTGAAGTCCCTTCCAACCCAAACCGTTGGATTCTATGAAACCGTTACCTGGGAGCAGTCCCCCGCTGTCTTTGTTAGTACCCGATGCTGGAGCATGCTCTCTCCCCAGCATCTGGAGAGCAGCAATTTCATGGCACAATGACTGGGTCACAGCAATTCCCTTCTTCTCCAGAGGACAGATTATGAACCTCAGAAGCAGACAGAGGCAACACTTAGCAGCCCCAGTGGGGAGCTGCCCAGCATCACAGCCTTCAGCCTGGAAGCACAGACAAGGTAGGGACACCAATCAAGAAGTGTGGTTGGACTTGATGATCTTAAAGGTCTTTTCCAACCCGGCTGAATCTACGATTCCAAATAAGATTAAGGAAGGCTGAAAAAAAGCCACAGATGCCGAGTGACCTCTGTAGAGCAATCTCGTTGCTATCCATTTGTGAATACTAAACTGAGCGTCAAAATGGAGCCATGAGGTGTCTGTATGACACCAGAGCAGCAGTTAATTTTGAGAAAGGGATGGTTTTGTCACTTCCCACGGCTTACAAAAGCTTTCTAGACCCAGCAAAGACCTCGCTTTGACCTTATGTATTCATCTTGTCTCTTGCTTTGTCATGGACTCACTGGGTGTTAATCAGATCTGCACAAACAAGCAAAGAGAAAGGGAAAAGGTTTCATGTTGTGAGGGAAAAGGCAGCCACATTATTCAAGGAGAGCAGAAGGTCCTTCAGAATCAATGGTGATAAAGCCCTGAGTAAGGGAAAAGAAAAGCCAAAGTTCTACCACCTCCTAGAGGTGCCTTATTTAGGCAGGAGAGGGCCTGCTTGGCTGGTTCAGGTCCTGGTGCAGTGACTCAGAGCACTGAATACCAAGCTCTTAGATAATCCACATAGAGAGATCCAGCCACCTCCCAGGAGCAATCCCAACTGTTTGAATGAGATGCACATTTTCCTCCTGAGAGCCCTCCACAAATCACAGATGTCTCTGCAGGGCAGCTCGACACTCCCATGCAAAGAACATGCAACCATGGGAGCCAGCAGACACGAAACCCTGGGCGGAGGGATGTGGAATTAAGCAGCAGCATCTGTGTGGGAGGTGTCACATCAGGGTTTCTCAGGAAGGTTGGCAGAGATGAGTCTCCTCTTACACAACACGTGTTGCCAAGGGAGGGTTTATGGGTTTAGGACCTCCTGTGCCTCAGGACAACTGATGCTCTCATTGCCAGATAAGGACCCTTTTATGTAAGGGTCCTTATCTTGAGATGTGGGTCAGTATTGCATGTAAACATGCATGTGTTGTGTTGCTGGGCAATAGGGAATGCAAAACCTATGGGATCAGGGAGAAACCAGGCTGGGGCACATGGATTGAGCTGCTCCCTTAGGGATGGAACTCCTGGCTTCCTAGCTCTGTTCCTACCTTCATGCAACAGCCATAAGGAGAAACTCTCCTTGTCAGAAGCAGGCTCAACCACGTGCCTTCACCTCCGTTGCCCACACATTTTAATACCTTCCTTCACATGCCAGGTTCCCTCCTAACCCAAAACAGAGGAACCTGCCAAGTGCAGGTAACACAAGACGTGACCTTTTAAACCTGGATGCCAAGAGCAGGTCTATGTTCACAAGCTCAGCAGGACAAGACCTGGGGCAGCACTAGCCCCAGCTCGTCTGTGCCAGCCAACATTGTCCCTAAGAAATCCTAAACCTATGGATAACAAAGCACGAAGACTACTTCAAATAGTGCAGTTGTTACCATGTTAGGATTTGGGTATGGGGCAGAATACATCCATCCAGGGCCACAGAACAGTTCTTGGCTCATTCAAGGTGTTTAAATGTGTGTGTGACTTGAATATCTCTAAATCTGGCAGGAAGAGAAGGAAACTGGATTGGGCAGAAGAATGGAGCCAGCTCAGCTGGGGGATAACATAGCAATAGAAACCATGGGGACAACAGAGAGTCTCATGGCTGAAGACTGAGCTCTGGCTCTCATGGCTGAAATTCTTGGCCAACCTCACAGTTGCACCAAGGAGAAATAAATGAACTGAGGCTCTAGTAAGAAAATAGAGGTTGGAGGTAAATCCCAGACTAAGACTGGATGACAAAGGCAATGAGGAAAGCTGGGAGAGAAAAGAGACAGGGAGTGCACAGCTGGGGGTAGGACTGGGTGGGAGTAAGGGTGGTTAAGAGCAGGCTGGGGTGAGCTGAAGCCATGAGACCACATTCCCTTTGCAAACCAGAAAAGATCCGGCTGCTTCTGAATGTTGTTCCTGTGCTCTCAGCAAATTCCCAGCAGCGTGAGCAATGCATGTAGCTGCTCTCCCTGTTCAATGAGTCAATAGAGAGAAAACCAGTTGGGTGAGCTGCACCCAACTAATTACCCTGGGAGATCTTCACTGGGATATACAAGAGCTTCTTCAGGAGAAAGCTTTTCAACCTCCTGTGACTCACTTGGAAGGGTTTGAGTGAGCAAATCTCTCATTCCTAAGATTATCCATAAGGAAGGTCAATACAGGGCAATGATTTCCCTCAGTATGAACCACGCTGGACACTTCACTTGCAAACACAAAAGATTTATTTCCAATATTAATATTTTGTTATAAAAGAAGCTGAAATTTCCAGTCGAAACCATCAGTCATTTCTGAAGGTTTTCCTTTAAGCATCATGCAGGATACTTCCTCCCCCTTTCAACATAATCCATAATACTTATGAAGCAATTTCCACTGGAAGATCTTCAACCAGTTTAAAGAAGACGTAATGCTCAAGATGCCTTCACATTGAGTCCTGCCTTGTCCCCCTCTGTTTGCCTGCTGGAGAGCTCAGCAGCCGTTTCCTTTCAGCCAGCTGACCCAGAAGAGAAATTGAAAGCAAGTTAAATAGAATAGGGAAAAGAATAATCTGGGCAGAGGCTTCCTGAAGTGAATGCAAAGGAATTGCAATGTATTTCAGCATCATATCAATTCCACTTGCAGACTAACTCCTCTGCTTTTGTTGCTAACATGGATGCACTCAGTCACTACTCTCAATGTACTGTACCACACAGTCACACAATAGAATAAAATAACACTTTATTGTGCCCAGCTTCTGTTTAACAAGTGTAATATTAATAAAATGATACAGAAAATGGTATAAAGGCGAAACATGGCACAAGAGAACAGCAGGGATAAAATGAAGGGGAAAAAAAGGCATCGAGTGATAAAGGCCAATAGTAGGAGAGATGGTGGCTGTATGGTGCCCTTCTGTATAAGCAGGGCTCCTTTCTCTTCCAAATACCATTTTGAGGTAGGGCTGTGCTCCTATGCACTGTCATCAGAGCATGGAAAGAACAAAACTAGTTGCTGATGGGATGTGACATTCCAGGTAGGAGGAACAGGGCAGGATTTAGACTGTACAGACGAGAGCTTGATCCTTTACAACGCAAGGCCAAGCAGCCTTCACCTCCCTCCAACCCCTTTAAACACCCAACCGGAGGATGCAGGCGAGACTGGCCAAGACACCCAGTGCTATCATGGTGTAGCTGGTTCTCACACTGCTGGCACCACTGATGTTGCACAAGGAGGTCTCGCAGCAGCTGGTGGCAACACCAGCTATGCCGATATTGAGGTCAATTGTTGGGCAAAAGGCGGAACATCTCTTGGTAATACGCTGGTTACGGTCACTGCCTGAAGGGAGAGAGAGAAAGCAAGAAGAAAAGTCACTGGGGGTTTATATATGTGTGTATTTTATATATATGTTATGTATTTTATGTATTTTTGACAGATTGCAATGGTAGGCTAGCTGTGCAATATCCAGTGGGGAATACATTGTTCTGTGCTTAATGCTGTTCATTTTCCCTTGGGCTTCATCGGGCTGCATCATTATTTGTGTATATGTGACCTATGGAGACCATCTCCAGGCCTTACAACTTCTCTGCTGTTTTCAGGGCCAGTGGGGTGCAGCCTAGGGCAAGAATTTATAGAATCATAGAATGGTTTAGGTTGGAAAAGACCTTAAGATCATCCAGTTCCAGCCCCCTGCCATGGGCAGGGACACCTCACACTAGACCATGCAGACCAAGGCTCTGTCCAGCCTGGCCTTGAACACTGCCAGGGATGGGGCAGCCACAGCTTCTCTGGGCACCCTGTGCCAGCGCCTCAGCATCCTCACAGTAAAGAACTTCTTCCTTATCTCCAACGTGAACTCCCCTTGTTTCTGTATGAACCCATCACCCCTTGTCCCATCACTCCAGTCCCTGATGAAGGTCCCTCTCCGGCATCCTTGTAGCTCCCTTCAGACCCTGGAAGCTGCTCTGAGGTCTCCATGAAGTCTTCTCTGAGATCTAATCTGGAGATCTAATGCATTTGTACAGTGCAAGATTGCAAGACATCACTGTTACCATGCCTTGCTTCTTCCACAGGACCTGGCCCTTTCCAATTCCACCACCTCATGAGCATATATTTGAGCTTGGATATCAAGGGGTTTGTGCAGAGAAATCCTCTCTCTTCCAGTATTTCCCTTTCCTGAGTGTGTTTAATCATCAGTATTGTCATAGCATATCACAACAGAGATGGGCTATGCTGAGTTCCTACTGTAAGATTTGTTCCCTGCGTGCTATGATCCTCATTAGTTCATTCCAACCCCCTGCCACGGGCAGGGACACCTTCCTCTAGAGCAGGTTGCTCCAAGCCCCTGTGTCCAACCTGGCCTTGAACACTCCTACCACACTTCCTGGTGGGAGGAGGCTCTACGATCAGCCTGACCTAACCCCATCTTGTCATCAGAACCTTAGGAAAGCTTCACACTTACCCATTCCCGTGGTAGAATAGGTTGTGAGACAGTACTTCTCATGGTCAGAGCATGTGGTTGTACTGAGACAATGCACATTGGAAGGTGCATCTTTGCAGGTGAAACATGTCAAGGAGAAAGCTGCAAAAGAAGCACACAAAGCCCATCAATCACCTCAATATCCAATATCCCCCCATCAAATATCCGTAGGAGCATAAAACTGGTGCTACTGGTGTGGATGGAGGATGTCAAGCCCGGTAGCCCCAGACAGACAACCTCCTGGGTGTGCAAAACTTGGCCCTAGCAACTCTCCTGGACTCAAATCACTTTAAGCTCAGATTCCTGACACAGATGTGGTTTCCTCATTTAGTAACCCTCAAGGGATCTCCCTTCTGGATACTTACTTGAATTTCCCTTGAATCCATTTAAATGTATGACCTCCCCAGTGGGCTTTTGGAAAGCACACCCCAGTCTACAACCACTTGCAGCAGGAAGCTCTTGTGGTTTCTTTCCAACCTGACTCCTCCAAGCTTCAGTTGCTGGTCACTAGTTCTTGCATGGAACCAATGGATTCCTGTCCATACCCTTTCACATCCTCTTCAAGTCATCTGAAAAGTCTGTCTACACAGACCATGCCCCACAACGTAACTCAAATGAGGGACAAGTCACCTGGACCTGCTTTTTGGTGTTTGGTGGGAAGATGGATGCTTCCATTTGTCTAGTTCATTTTCAGAGCTCAGCACACCACTGCCTTGGCTGAAACAGATTCCTTTTTACAGCCATCCATGGGTGATGAATGCCTAACACAACAAAACGTGTACATCTGTAACACTGCATCTGCACAGCGCTGTGCCAATAGGAATGAATGGAAACAGCTTGCACTCCAGTAAGCTGAAGCAGTCATTCACAGCAAAGAGATCCTTGGGGAAGGTTTCTTTGCATGATAAGGGGAATTTCCTACTCCTCTGTTTATCAGGAGCAAACACTCCTGCAGTAATGTCACCCACAGGGGATCAGACTCATTTTTCTCGTTTCCAGAATATCTCTATCTATGGACACTTAAACCCCACCTTATTCTTGTACCAGCACTGTCCTTTCACTTTGCCTTCCTTGCTCTTTGTCTCCCTTGTCTTTGCCATCATTTCAATGCAATCATTTGCCATCATTCTTTTGCCAGCAATGTCCCAACCTCATTGGTGCCCTTGTTTGACCTTAGACAACCTCATCTGGCCCAAACAGGCTCTGCCCTGCTTAGCTTCCTGCTAGCCCAGACCTGTTCCTAGGTCAGACCATGGCCCAGGGTGACCAGGGTCACTGTATTTCATAGGAAGCCACAAAAATGCTTTTTAGGGCACTATTCATCCTTCTCTGTGTGTCTTCTCTCCCCATTCCATCTAACAGCCCCTTCTCCATTTCCATGGCCAGCCAGCACTGACGTCCACTTTCCTCTTGTGGTCCTTAGTCCTCGGAGCTCCTGATCTGCACACAAAGGTGTGTGGCTTCATTCTCTTTCCTTGTGCAAACTCTTCACAAGGACATTTCTGCTCCACCCCACTGGGAACCACCCTTTTCTCCCAGAATAACCATACACTAGAACAGAGTCCCCAAACTGGGTTTTCCAGACATGTAGCTCATTTTATTCCTTAATTAATGTAGCTTCTTTAACCAAGCCCATTCCAAGAAGAACTTCCTTAATCTGTGCAGGAAACGGTGGAGCTTGTTGCATGCCCAAGTCCTGTTTCATCCCAACCTCCCAAAGATGCTAATTCCAGAGTCCAGATCCCTTGTGACCCTTCAAGCCAGGAAAGGGGGCAAACTCCCCAAAGGGGTGATTTTGCCAACCTCTTCCTGTTCTCAAGAGGTTTCTCACTCATCATTTACTACAGAGGGTGCACATGGATGCGCATGGGATCCTAACCTTGTATCTCAGTTAAGACCCTGATATCAGGCAGGACACTTTTGCTCATGCTACTGAAAACCACTTCTGATTTTATTGCATCCATTGAGGTATCTGTTCCAATGAGGGCTGAGTGGGGAAGGGAACAGTATTTCTTTCAAAGCATGTCCCACTCAGGAAGGTTAAACCAGGCTGCTTTTGGGTATCTCCTGTCTGTACCTAGCAAGACCTCTGCTCTCCTTGAATAAGAACATTCCTCAAGGAAGATCTTCATGTGAATAATTCAAGTCAAATAACTTTGACTTGTAAAGCATTAGCAAGTGCCAGCAGATGTGGGATATACACTGTTAAAATCAGCCAGGTTCAGGATTAATTGGAACAGCAACCAGCCTTCTGGCTACATTGCACAGCAAAGTGGTGCTGCGAATGTGCTCATTTCCACTGACTCCTTTGCTAAGTTTGCTGCCTCATTACGTGATCTCTTTAAAATATGTGATTATAGCTGATGATAAGCTGCAGGAAAAGAATCCTTTTATTGCCCGCAACTTTCTCAGCCCCATTGATCACGATGATTTAGCACATGCCAAGTTTAAAGCCTGTGAAGTCCCACAGTAAGAACATTTACAGCCTCAAATTAAGTGTGAGCCTCAGTGTTCTGTTAGACCAGGACCAGACTGATCAGTAATGTGCAGGTCAAACCCTACAGCAGAGCCTGAGAAAAACTCAGCTTGCAACAAGGCAAAAGCTCCCCTAGCTTAGGGCATCAGCTATTCCCCTGGAATAGTCATAGGGATATTTATGGCTGCATCCTCTATTCCTTGCTTCACCCACAGCACATCCCTATGCAAACAGAGCATCTCCCAGAGGAGCAGGCAGTGGTCCTTCGCAGACCCCAACCATGTAAAATTGAAGTGCAGGTTCCCAGTGCATCCTTCCCCCCCAAAACCACACATTTATCAGAATGAGAATGGGACGTTTGCATCCCAGACCTGGGATCAACATCAGCAAAACTGCACCTTAAACCAACAAGCTGGAAGAAAGAGATGGGAGACTTGCATCTTCTTGTGGCACAACTGTCTCTACCAGATTAGGTAGTGATGGTTTGTTCTTGCAACCAAACAAGCAAGTGAAAATATGTCTAATCTGCAGCTTTATTGCATATATTGTTCATTCCTTGTCCAGCTCTGTATATTCTTCAACTCATTCACCTAGTCATGGAGCTGCAGTAAGGAATCTCAGCTGCTTTCACTGAGCCACTCCAAGATCTGGGTTGAGACTCCATGAATGAGGGGAGGTGGGTATCTCATCCCCCACTTTAGCTCCTCAGCATCCTTCCAACTCCTGATGGGGATAAATCCCGTGGCTTCTTACCCTGAGACTGCAATGCTGCCTAGAGCTTAATTATCCTTCAGCTTTACCATTCATGCTGCAAAATCCCCTCATCATCCTGCAATATCAAAGACACGATCTGGGGATCTCACTAATGCAAAGAAATCCTTGGAGACTCACCACTCTCGGTGCACAGGGCTATGACAAGCACGACAAGAAGAGAAGTCTTCATCCTTTATAGTTGTCGCAGCCTCCAAAACAAGCAGGTCTCATGCAGGGCAGGTTTTATACCTCTCCAGTACTTGCTTTGATGCTGGGATAATAAATATAGGGTTGTTGTGTCAGATGGTAGATAATTGAGAGGAACGTGTCAGTGCTTGTATGTGGAAGAATGTAAATCCAAACAGGCAAATGCTCTCCCCCCTTTTATTTTGTCCCTACTTGTTTCACAATGCAGCTTGTTCATCTGGTGTTAACTATGCACCAGTTTCTAATTCTGGAGAAGTGGAAGAAAAGCAAAGCACAGAAACAAAACAGTGTCCGTGTGAGAAGAGGAATGTTTCCTTTTCCAGGCCAGCCTGAGTTTCAAAGCAAGCTGCATCCGGAAGGATCCTATCCTCACACACTCTTTTAGTGCATATGGAAATGGATTGAATTTGAAATTGAAATTGGGATTGAAACAGCTACAGAATGTCTCCCAGGATTGTCAACACAGCTAGATCAGAAGAGAGTATTCTTCCACTGCTTCTCATAGGGGAGCAGGCATCATTTTCTGTGAGTCTTTTTAATAGAGCACTTCGAAATCCTAAATGTTGCTGTTAAAAAAAAAACAAACGGATATTTTACACGAGGAAAATGTTATCTTATTAGAAAATAATATTCCTGGGCAAGGAAAATGACCACTTATATTAAAAGATAGAAATAGCAATATAACACCCACTCCCATCATATTGAACAAGCTGGGAGTTTCATTTTCACAAATTACAAAAACTAAATGTCAGGGACTAAAAACCCAAACCACTTAAAGCATGGAGAATGAGGGGTGAGAATCATAGAATGGTTTGGGTTGGAAAGGACCTTAAGATCATCCGGTTCCAACCCCCTGCCATGGGCAGGGACACCTCACACTAGACCATGTCACCCAAGGCTCTGTCCAACCTGGCCTTGAACACTGCCAGGGATGGGGCATTTACCACTTCTTCGGGCTTTTGGGTTGCCTGATCAAGGATCTGAACTCATTAAGACTTCAGAAAAAGAAATTATAGCTAAAATGATGTGAAATGCCAAATAGGAGCATTCCACTGTGTTTCCATACGGTGCCCTTTATTCCTCCTTTTTTATCTTTTTCTATCCTATCTCTCTGTTTAAATCAGAATCTTTCCCATCTTCTCCTGGTTACTGTTGCTTTTTCCTCCCACCGTTGCCTTTCTGCCATCTAGTTGTGGGGATGGAGGAACAGTCCCAGAAATGGTCCATCTGGATCCCTTTCACATGACTTTTATAACTGCAGGAGCAACCTGCATGCCCCAAACCTCTGCCAGCGACTCTGCCCCATGCTGCTCTCCATCTGTTCCATTTCCCTTTCTTCTTAGCCTCAAAGTTGCTCAGATTTCCATCTCCCATTCAATAGTTTGGCCTCCACCTATGGTCATTATCTCACCCAAAAGGCATGTTAGTTCTTGAGGTGATTAAGTCTTTCCAACACCTCTAAATTGGACATATAAATATTGTTCGTATGGAGAACCTGCATGACTAAGGTGAGGAAATTTGTGCTTTCTCAATAGGTAGAGCATGAAACTCAGTTGGAACAGAGGTGGCAATTAACCAGGAAAGCTCAAAGGAGGGGCGTTGTTTGGCTTCAGAAGTCCAATGCCTTTGTAAGGCACCAGGCAGGAGGAAAACAGAAGCTGGCACCTTCCATACCAGGCAATGCAACCCTCTCTTCCTTGTGTAATGTTTTGTTTTCCTCTCTCCAGAAGAGATTTCATGAGTCTTTACTGGTAAATCATCTTTAATTGCCGACCACTTGAGGTACTAGCAGGAAAGGGGGCTCTAGTGACACGGCGATGCCATTCTGCAGCCGCTGCACTGCAGAGGCAGCCCACATTCAGATTTATTTCAGCCAACAGCATCCAGTAACAGGTACAGAAATAGCAGCTCAACCAGGCACTTGGGGTTTTTTCCCTCCTCGCTTGTAGTCTTATCCAAGCAAAACCTAAAATATCTCTTGCCTCCTGCAAGCTGCTGAGATTTGGAGATGACAAGGCTGTATTTCTTAAAGGAGTTATGGCAGGATTTCTGACAGTGGAGATTTTCCATTATATGGTCCTGCACCCTTCTAGCTGGTCCCATGTGTCCTTCTGATAATGTTATCTTCACCCCTCACCACTGCCAGGTAAGAGAAATCTAAAAGAACCCATAGGATAGAAAGGACACGCATGATTGGGACACTAAAGGGACCGAGGAAACAGAGAAGATAATATCAAAGTTTACAAGTAGTTGGAAGTTATGAACTTTAAGATGATTTTGGGAAGAGTAGCAGGGGATTTAACCAGAGGTGGAGAGTGGAGTGTAAAGGTTTAATTCCCTTGACACTGTTGCTGAGTGGAGAAGGAGAGTGTTTTGCTCATCTTGATCTAAACCTGTTTGAAATTGTCATGTGAGAAGGGCAAACAGTTTCCTTTCATGAAAATATGTTGTTTTCAAGCTGAAATTTGAAAGTAACTATGAAATTCAGATGGTTTTACTAAATGTGGATTTTCAAGTTGGCCAAATGGTTTGCGAATCATTGCAGAAATTATTGTGATTAATATATAAGAACTATGGGAAAAGTGGTTAAAAATAAGTGCAAAAAACCAAGTTTCTGCTGGTCCCTTCAGAACAGAAATAGAACCATAGAATCACAGAATCACAGAATGGTTTGGGTTGGAAAGGACCTTCAGATCATCCAGTTCCAACCCCCTGCCATGGGCAGGAACACCTTCCACTAGACCATGTCACCCAAGGCTCTGTCCAACCTGGCCTTGAACACTGCCAGGGATGGAGCATTCACCACTTCTATAACACTACTACTCTTCAGTTAGCCCATCTTGTATTTAAATAAATACCAGAACACCCTCCTTGCCCAGAAATTAAATCTTTATAGGCTGACTAAACCTAACAGCATCTTCACAGCCTTTGGCCAGCGCTGCTATTTCTCCCCGTTGCACAAAAGCACATGCACTTTGCAGCCCATCCTGAGCACTGATGGAGCAGGACTCCCTCAAATCCAGCTGGGTTGCAAATGTGAGGGCTTTTTTCCAGGTGCCACTTCTGTACAAGGCAACCCAAAATGAAGAGCTACACTTTAAGCTGCTCAATTGGGAATTACACGCCATCCAGCTCCAAGTGTGTGTGTATTTTGCCCATCTTAGCTATAGTTTTCCTCAAAGAGCTGCAGTGGATCTTCACCCCAAGAGATGCAGGGGATCTCCACCCCATGTCCTCCATCCCCAAGCCTAGAAATACAGCAACAACAGAAGAATCATAGCAGCAGAGAACACCAAGTTGGAAGGGGCCTCAAGGATCATCTGGGCCAACCTTTCTAGGCAAAGCATGACCTAGATGTCCCAGCACCCTGGCACATGTACAGCCAAATCTTAGCAGTGGCCCGTGCTAGGGAATCCACCACTTCCCTGGGGACATTATTCCAATAGCTGATTGTTCTGATTGTGACAGAATAAGGAAGGGAAGAAGCAGGTCAGCCATCACCTCTGCCTTTTCCCTGTCCCTGTAGGGAAGTCACAAGCAATCACTCAGACAGAAGCATCTTACCCAAGCGGAGTTCACCTTTCCATGAGGACAGATTCCAGCAGCACCGTCCTCATCTCAACTTGGACATCTCCAGCATCTTGGGGTGGGACTTTTACCTCTTTTAAAGTCAAAAGCACCCACTCAGCAGAGAACTTTGCAGCACAGCCAGGAGCACACCCAATACCTGCCAAGCCCCCAGTCCCGTGCGTTAGCAGTTACAAAACAGTTCTTGCTGTTGCTTACAATGGCAACAACACAATCATCTTTGACCTTTCCAGATTGACACCTTCATTCCTTAGCACTGAGTGATCAGGCAGAACATCTGGCTTTATGGAGTGTCTGCCTTGAGCTGCTGGGTGCGATGAAGCCGAGTGAGAAAGGCAGCCAGGAGAAGACTCTCAGGTGCTAAAAAGAAGAATTGAATGTGAAGCAGAGATTCAGCCAACAGCCCTTTCTGGCAGAGCTGCTTTCTCAGGCTGATCTTAGTGTGGATGTAGCAAACACACTCTAGAATAACATAAATCTTTATTTTGTCTGGCAATTGTCACACGCGTGCTATCAAAAGAGCATTCCCAGGGAAAATCAGTACAAAACAACAAATGATACGGGGGGAAAACAGGAGCTACACTGCTGTGCTGTTTCTGTCGATGGGATCTGAAGCAGTGCTTTTGAATAAGCAGGGTAGCATAGACCCTGTGGGAGACACTTGACAGAGGATGTTGGTTGGTATTGGGGAGTACCTTGTAGGTTCTTGGGTTGCCACATCTTCTCCCACCCCTCATCACAATCCTGCCTTGATGACACAGACCAAACTAGCCACAATCCCCAGGAACATCACGGCGTAGCTGATCTTGATGCTGTTGGCACCACTGAAATTGCACAGCGAGGTACTACAGCATTTGGTGGAATAAGCTGCCACACCGAAGTTCACGTTTGTCTCAGGACAGTCTACAGAGCACTTCTTGGTGATGCGGTGTCCCATGTCCTTGCCTGCATGGAGAATAGACAAGAAAGGGGAGCTGTGATCTAAGGTTTTGTAAGAGCTGGCCAGAGGGTGACAGGAGGAGGTATATTGCACTATGCTTATTTGCAGTGCTGTCAGTGGATGTGATGAGTGCTGGATGAGTATCCACACAACCTGAATTAAATGCATGGCACTAGAAACTCCTTGACAGAAATCCACACCATGTATCCTGTAGGACAGCAAAAAATCACTGCCAGGGCATTTTTGCCTTCTAAAACCACATTACTTACACCCAACCCCTTTTCATCCTTCATCACAAAGCACGTGTGTGTGAGCTCTCAGTGCAAGCTCATGAGGATGTGTGTGCCACAAAGTAGTGAGGAGTGGACCCCAGAGCACCACTAAGGGATTCACACACGTTACGTGTTGCGATCCTTAAACCTCAGTGGTCCATTCTTTCCAACAAGATCAATTACTGTCCTGAAAGAACTGCCTCCCATCTGTCTCTGGAGGAAGAAGGAAGCAAAAAGCCTTGACATGCTGCCGGTACTCACCGAAGCCAGCAGAGCTGTATGTGGTTGTACAGTATTTCTCATTGTCTTCACACTTATAGGTTTTAAGACAGTTCCAGTTGGAGTGCTCGTTTTCACATGTGTAGCAAAACAGCGAGGAAGCTGGAGAGAAAGAGTGCACATGACACGTATTAGTGGTTTTCAGCAACATCCTCCTGGGAAGAAGGTGCCAAAAGCCATGTCCCTTCTTGGCAAATACAAGGTGAAAAGCACATTATGAACACCTTTTTGTGACGAGTGACGTAAGATGTTGCTTTTGATTAATGAAGCTGAAGAAGCAAAACAAACAGAACAAGTTTTCTTTCTTTACTCAACTTTTTCAGTGATTAAACTTGAAAATCTGTTTTTCAGCCTGAACAGCATCTCTCCCCTTCTTTCTCCCCTGGGTCCACATTGACGTGGTTAATAGCCAAGCTGCAAAAGCAGACCTGCCTAGCCAGGTCTAGTACGATTCTGGCAAGGAGAGGATGAACAGACACTGTGCTCAAGTGAGAGCTTGGGTTTTGGTATTATTCAGACCACATCTGCAAAACGCTGTAGAGACATGATTTAATTAAAGCCTATGACACCCCTGTGAGCTAAATCACTGAGCATGGAGCCACATTAAAGGGAGTTCCCTGGGAGAGATTGCTCTGGACAATAGAGAGATTATATTTCTACCAGCGCCTGGAACGATGTGTTCTCAGTGATATTATTAGCAGGGCTGAGCCAGGTCTATTGCAAAGCCAGAAGGAGGTAAGATATGAGCAACACTGAAGTGAACTGAGTCAAGCTTCCAGGCTAGGCAGCTGGCCATGCTGGAAACACAGGCATGTGCCATCCTGTTCCCTGGAGGTGGATTCACAATTGGTAGAAACTCATTCCCTGCTGTTTAGAGTCCCATGAAATGCTCCTTATTTCTGAGCAGCGTTGGTAGCTGCCTCTCAGGAAAACACCGTTATCACCCGTGGTGGAGAGCTCTTGGTTGATGATGACCAAATCGAAAACCAAGTAGGGTCCTCCAATAGGCTGAAATTATCCCTGTTTCAGTTCCTCCTGGCTTTCTCAACCCAGAAACACTCTTCTTTCCGCACAGAACATCCCATTTCGATTGAATGTGAACCTATTTTTAACATGGAAACTCCTCTCAGGGACTCTCCAAAGGGCAGCTGCTGTTGATTCAAATTCGTCTCTGAAGTCGAACCTGCCCGTGCCACTTGGTTAGACAATTTCAGAAGCAGGTGGAAGTCTCTTTAGGCTCATCTACCCCAGGTAGGAGAAGAAAATGCCTCTCCTTTGTGATGTGGGGAGCTCAGGGGCCTCGGGTATACAACTTAGATGCCTTGGGTACAACTCATTTGCCTTGGGTACATCTCTGGAGCCAGCTCTGGGCACCTCAGCGTATGACTGACCATCTTGCTCTGAAACCTGTCCAGACGCTCTTTTCTAGTGCCAAGTGTTGCAAGTGCAGATGTTCTCTGTATCCTCAGATAAAATCATCCTTGTTCCATCTTGGTTTTAACATCTCTTTAACCATTCAACACTCGCTGTTGCTCCATCACATGGATAAATTAAACCCCTCACCTCTCCTCTGGAGGTTCCCTAAGCCGAACTGTGGGCTATGTGCTTTCACAGACCATGCCAGAGCCATCCCAGACACGCTGCCCAGCAAGTGTGATTGCATTTACAAACCCTGCAGCTCTCTCTGATCCGCTTTTCTGCCAAATATCACAAAGTTCAAACCACTTCCTGCTGCAGATGGAGCCGAGCCCCCAGCATGTGCACACCAGCAACTGAAATGCACTCCTGATGCAAGGAAAATCCCTCCCAGTCAGGAAACAATAATAGCTTAAATCATTATAGCAGTTATAAAGTCTTGTCTGCGTCTGGCCCCCACCCTCCATTAGCTCTAGTTAAGTGAAGGCAGCCAGGAATAGCTTTAACAGTGCAAAAAGGTTTGCAGTGCTCCTTGGGATTGCAAATACGTGCACAGAGTCAATGTTTCTCAACTGGGTATTTCCACACTATGATTGAATTGTAACTGCATCTCCTTTTGAAAAAGGACGAGCTTTGAGGATCCCATTGCAAACAGAAGACACTTAGAAAAGCTCTTCAAACCTCTGAGCAAAGAGCTCTTAGGCTTTCAGATATCTGCCAGCAACTTGGTTTCTTAAGTGTAGTGTCGTTGTGGGAAATACAGTGAAATGCTGGCAGAGGATGCTGTGCCGATGCCAGCCCTATTACCTTTATGAACAACAACTCAAGTTTCATTCAGGAACAAGAAGAAAACCAAAAGCAAAGCTGTGAGCCCAGCTTAACTCCTAGTAGTGTTATTCAGTTGACATGTCCAGCTTCAGATTTAAGTGGTCAGAGCTCGATATTTGAGGGTGTGAGAAACCAGAGCTGTGAGCTCATCTTCTATGGTTATGGGTACATGAGCAGAACTCACCCAGAAGCTAATACTGAACCACACTAAATAGCACTTCTGACACCAAAGAACTGTGCTACCAACACCTCACCAATTGCAACAAATGCTGTCCCTGTGTTATCTCTAATTCCTCTTCATCCTCTCCATCTGCCTCTCCCAGCCTCCATAGCTCCTTACCTTGCTCAGCACACAGGACTGCTGCCAGCAGGGCAATCAGAACAGCCTTCATGGTCGTTGTGCCCTCAGAGCCTGAACAATGTGGGATGGTGCACCATGGGATGGTTTTATACTGGGATCATGGTTACTTTAGCTTCCTTTGATTACAGTAATTTGAGTTGTGCCCTCAGAGCCTGAACAATGTGGGATGGCGCACCATGGGATGGTTTTATACTGGGATCACGGTTACTTTAGCCTCCTTTGATTACAGTAATTTGAGGTTTGGGGAGTGACAGCACATGAGATGTGATCAGCAATGGGTGTGTTTGTGCGTAGGAACCTATTACAAGACTCCAGATAGTTCTTCTTTTCCTACATTTAATTCAGATCCAATCTTTTTTGCATTCCAAGGCCTTCTCCTGCTGGCTGTGTCTGCATTGCTGGTTTGGGGAACAATTTATCTGATTCAAACATCAGAATCTCTTCTTATTCCATTGGGTTGAACCATGAAACCCGGAGCAAAGCAGAGGGAGCTGTGCCAGGCTGGGCTGGCTCATTGCTTGCATAGCAGGCATCACCTGGCATCCTCCACCTTTTCTCTCTGCCACGATATAAGAGCTTCATAACTCTGGGAAACAAAGGAGGAGGCAGAAAGGATTTCTGCTGGATTGTCCACAGTTATTCAGAATGACAAGGTCTAGTGTGAGGTGTCCCTGCCCACGGCAGGGGCTTGGAACTAGATGATCTTCAGGTCCTTTCCAACCCAAACCATTCTATGATTCTATGATTATCTTACTTGTACTAAGGAAAGTGCTTTAAGTAGGAAACCAAACTGTGTTGTTCTTGCAATGACATTGTTCGTGCCTAGAGAGTGTCACTCAGAGGCTCCCATGGTCCAGGCAGAGATGAGGCCTGATGCTTTTGTTTTCCTGTTCCTCCATCCTCCAGAAGCATCCAGTGTTTCCAAGCAACGATGTTTGTTGCTGCCTGTAGACCAACACAGGACTCTGTCAGGTTTTTCTGGTCCCTCATGACCTTTCCACTCTTTCTGGGATTGCTCCTTCTGCTCCCACAACCACCTCATCCCCTCTCGCCAAATGACTCAGGATGCAGTAGCACTGATGGAAATGGCTGCAGGAGTTGAGTTCTGCTGTGAATGGGATTGAAGATGACTGAGAAATAAAACAAGGCAAGAAGACATCTCAGCAGACCAAAACTCTTCCTCTTTAGAAAGGGAAATGACCAAGGGTTGTTTAAAGTCGACGTTTGCAAGGTCACAAATGATGTGGGAACAGCATAAAGAACACCCAGTTGCTCTTTGTTTTCCCCAAGGAGTTGGTTCATAGGCCCTTCCTTTGACCACTTTTCTGCAAGATCCTGAGCAGATGGCCCAATGCTCAACCCATGTGATGAGTCTTCTGCTTCCAGTCATTCTTCTTTTGCCCAGTTCCTCCTTTACTACAGCACCTTCATCCCCCCATGTTTTCTGTCTGTGCCTTTGCAGGGTGAAAGGGATGAGCATCCAGTTTTCAAGGCCTTCTCTGCTCTCTGATTTGCCCTGACCTCAAGCATGAATCTTTAATTTATCTCCTCTTTTAGCAAGAATGTGAAGGACCAACGTGACAACTGATTTAGCAGCTCTACTTGGGAAATAATCTGTGGAAAAGCCATGCTCTCCAAACAAGACCTTGTATAAATACATGCATGAATGACATCAGGCAGGAAACATGATCTGCTGGAGCATGCAGGGATATAGTAGGTATTAGCCTGCGTGTTTGTTTTAGGTATAATAGCCAGGCTTCTCTCAGCCAGCTGGAGAAACAGAAAACAAATCTTCCTTCCCTTCTATCCCCATCAGAAATCCAGAAAGGAAACTGAATGGTCGCCCTGAATTCAGCTCATCTCGGAGCCAACCGAGCAGCAAAATGCAGCTCCTAAGCAGGAAGAAAAGGAGCAACTCATGAACACAACCCACAAGGAGGAAGAAGAAAAGCTTGGAAATTCAAACAAATAAAGGAACAGTAAATAAATGATGCTGTTTAAAGCAAAGTGCAGCTGAATAGAAAATCTGCAAGTGAGAAATGGGCTGTAGGAAGTGGAAATGTGAGAAAGCATTTAAACAGATTAGAGAGAGAGAAGGTTAATAATAATAAACAAGATGAATATTTCACGCAGCACTGGAAAGAGGGAAGGAGGGAGCTGAGAAATATGGGTGCAAAGCAACATAAATCAAAGAAAACACATAAAGCTTGGGGGGAAATAATTAAAGACAAGCAAAGTGAGGGTAAGAATTAAGACGGGATGGGAGGGAAGTATCAGAGCTTCACTGTTTCTACTACAGTGGCATTACTTAGTGCAAAACGCACGTGTTGTTATGTGCAGACACTACTCAGGTAGTAACCACGGAGCATTTTCTACAGCTCCCCACACCCCAGTTTAACCAGCGACTGGAGTTCAACTGCAATGGTCTTCAATGGGAGCTGGAAAGAATCTAGCACATCGCCTGACCCCTACCCTTGGTCCATCAAGGGGAAGACTGGAAAAGCTTTGGGAAGCAGACTGGGCTCTGGCCAGGTCCCAGCCCCACACTATTCTTGTGCACTGTTGATACTGCAATCACGCTGTTGCTATTGCAATCACGGCCAGGGCCACTGCAAGGGCTCTGGGCTCCAACCAGCACCACGCAGGGTGGGGGATGCGTGTCCTTTGAAGCAGAGAGAAGCCCAGGTTTTCTTTAAGTAAGAGATAAAAAGAGCTGGAAGAAAAGCCAGGGCAAAGGCAGCCAGGATAGTGGGAAGTGCAGATGGTGTCAGGAGAACAGTGTGGAGGAGCTAAAACTGCCTTCCTGGGGATGTAAAATAAAAGAGAGGGGAGAGCAGGAGGGTGAATCTTGATGAAGAAACTGGGCTAGGTGCGTGTTAACCCCGTGTGCATCACAAAGGGTATTAAACAGTTAACAGGGCATGTTTTAAGACAGAAACCTTAACCCACTTCCAGCTTGGCAGTGGACAGCGTGTGTTTGTGCCAGAGCTCCGGAGCGTGTTGTGCAAGGCCTGTTCCTTTTGTGTAACTGGAGCCAGACAAAGCGTGTTTTCAACCCGTGATGGGTTGAAGTGGAGCCAACTGCCAGGTCCGGGATGATTTTAATGTCAACTCTCCCCATTTTCCCCCTTTTTCTTTCTGGGGGTGGCTCCCATCACATCTCTCCTCTATGGTGCGGGGAGGAAACACTGTGTTTCAGCTCAGGGTTAATGCTGCAACAGGGAAAGGAGAGGCCATGGGACAAGGTGAGAAGGCAGAAGCCATGGATAGTGCTCCCAGTGCCCCTGAGTCATGCAGATGGTGCACGCAGGGCAAGCAGTCCAGGCCAGCCCCAGACAGCATCAGACTTATCTGGTCGTGTCCTCTCCTCCTTCCTTGGCAGGTCAGGGAAGGATGGGTTGCTTCATCTAACTGTGCAATGGCTACAGGGTTGGGTGAAGGACTGGAAGTGGGGTCCAATGGGATCCAGAACCACAGGAAAAAAGGAAGACCTGTGTGTGATATTTTTCCTGTTCCACCTAAGGCCTGTCTGTTGCAGGCAGCCTACTCTACTCTTGCCTTTCCCAAAGCACATCTGGGTCTGTAGCTGACCTGGTAGGCTCCAAACAACAGGATAGAGCTCTTCAGGTCATCCCCATGGCAGAGGACAAGCTTCCATGTCTGGCTGAAGTATAAGGTGGTTTGGGTAGACTTCAATCTGTGTGAGAGCTGTGATGGTCACCAGGAGCCTTGTTACCAGCCCAAATGGGTGGGAAACCTGAGTCCTCTGGGGGCCCAGCTACCAGCCAACAGGGAATCAAAGCTATTTTGTCACATTCCTTTAACCTCCAATATCCTAAGAGATAATTCAGTCCCATCAGCTTGGAGGCTTATGGGGATTTATCAAATGGCACCATCATGCATGGAGTCAACTACTGTGATTCACGTCCTCGCCAATGCCCTACCTGAAGGGCTAGATCCAGATGGGCTCAGCAAACAGGGCAGAAACCCAGCCCCAACGCTGTCCACGCCACTGGACCATCAACAAGGCTTGGGCACACCCCAACCATCATTGTCCCAGACAGTGCCCTGACATAAGGCTGCTCCTTGCAAGCAATTTGGATGGAACCAACCTGTTTGTAGAGGGAAGAGGTTAGAGTTATGGATGTGAATCATCCTTCTTGGATCCAGGGCCAAGGTTTATTATTGGCATCTCTGCAGCCAGGAGGGGGGATATTGGAGACCTGCAGGGGCTGAAGGAAAAAGGGGGGTGAAGAAGGATAGTTGGGAGGAGGAAAAAGATGTGAAACAGAAAAGCCAGTACCCTCTCAGGATCCCCCCGATAGAGTTAATGGGTTAATTCTAGTCCTACCAAGGAGGACACCACTGGCCACAACTGTGTTTGGGGAGAAATGATCCTCACAGGTTTATTCCAATACCTAAAGTGGGCCTACAAGAGACCTGGAGAGGGGCTTTGGACAAGGGCCTGTAGGGACAGGACAAGGGGAATGGCTTGAACCTGCCAGAGGGGAGACTGAGATGAGCTCTGAGGCAGAAGCTGTTCCCTGTGAGGGTGCTGAGGCGCTGGCACAGGGTGCCCAGAGAAGCTGTGGCTGCCCCATCCCTGGCAGTGTTCAAGGCCAGGTTGGACACAGGGGCTTGGAGCAACCTGCTCTAGTGGAAGGTGTCCCTGCCCGGGGCAGGGGTTGGAGCTGGAGGGGCTTTAAGGTCCCTTCAACCCAAACCATTCCATGATTCTATGATCCTATGGCTTAAGTTTGCACTTGTAACACAGCTCAGCGGATAACTCCCACATCTGCCATTGTTTTCTGTCCAAGGTCCAGCCCTCCTGATCCTCTTCCATTGTATGAGCAGTCAATGTGCGGGCACTAAACTGGGACACAACCTACCACATGTTTACACTGGTCCTGTCAAGTGAGGCTCTGATCTTTCTCTGGAAATCTTGGGCTGTGATAGGCATCTGAAACATGCCAACACAAACTCTTATGAAAGTACAATTACAAGTGTTTCCGTGGAAGATTTTAGTCAGACTGTCCAGGAAAAGGAGGTGACAT